GGAACCGAATTTCTTTCATCTTCGGTGTGACTGGTCAACATGTATTCTTTCCTTGGTGGGCTTACACGAGGTTGATAAATATATCTATATTGATACACACTGATGCAATATATATGCATATTACATATTGATCAGTGACACCTAAATTAAAGCAAAGCCGATTTCGAAAACAACAACAAAAAACTTATACCGACCTCGCATCAGCTCAACAAGATCAGTTCATAAGAACGTTTAAATGATTATTGGTTATCTATGCCTACGTTTACAGGAATTCCATTTCTTGACTTTGTAGTGGCATATTTTCATATAATTTCATCAATATTCCTGATTATAGTGGTAATCCTTTTGCACCCCGTGCAAGCTGTCACCCGTCGTCCTGTTGATGAGCGAAAAACTCCCTCAGACACCGGCCATCTTCATTCGTCCCTGTTGTTTCGAAGGAAACTTAGTTTTTTCATAATGCCTGACGTGACAGAGGCCATCACTTTCTCTAGGCTCCTCGTGAAAAAATCTGCTCATAGAGTAGGTTCACACTGTGTACACCACTGAGATTTGGAAACTAACAGTTTTTAAGGAGCGACAGCGTTTTTGAACTTTACTTATCGGCATACCTTGGAAGTTGTCATTCCCTCACTTGGCATGGAATGGCAGAATCTCGTCCTCGATAGTGCTTTAGGCAATGTTGATTGATCGCGTTTCTTTCCTTGCTAGCGTTGACATTTAGGTATATGTTAAGTCAGTAACAATCATAGCGCTAAAAAGCTGGGCATGTGGCCCATTACTCCTTGTCGTTTCCGTTCCATCCATGATGGTCCTGCAAACTTTGCAAACTTTTATGTAGTTCTTGAAAAATCCTTGTATTAAGACATTCATTGTTCACCATTTTTTAGCGCTAGCTCAGAGCAGAAGTATTTGAAGTTGTTTTATAGGTGAAAGTGGTGTAATTCTTGCAGGAACTTTGTCGAAACCGATTGCTGTTCATGTCGAGTAGTTAGTGGGCATTTCATAAGAACAGTCTCATTATCGAAGAGATGATAGTGTAGCTGCAGGGAGCAGATTTCATGTCACGTTATGCTGTTGTGGTATCTTAAACGATGGCTTTGAGAGAGACTGAGAGGGATATTTATGGCAACATTGTGACGTTTTGTTAAACCAGAAACATGCAAAGCTTAAGAACATTCTCAGCTAATTCTCAGCAAACTGTATGTCATCAAGCGCGTTAATACCATGATACATTTCGCATGTATATGAAACTACACAGGAAGCGATTCCTACTCTGATTTTTACACTCTCCTCTCCTTCGGTGATTACCTATGTGTGGCTGTCTACGTGCTAAAAATGTAGAAATCAGAAAGCTATATGTAAATGCCACTAATGCTTTCACGCGTGAAAGGATTGAGACTGGTGCTCTCAAACAGGGTTTCCTGAGACGCAGCGGATATGACCTGTGTCAGCCGTGGTGTCATTTACCTAACCGATGACGCTGTTGTTCCAAAATTCTGCACGGGATCAGACCGTCGCCTCCTTCAGGCAAGATTCTATTTCTCGCAGAAGGGAGAAAAAGCCGTTAAATTCAAAAGCGAAGTCCCAAAACCGCCACGAACTGGGACTTTTTCAATTCAAAAGTCGGCTGTTGGGAAGATGCCGTTGTCGATCACATTGATGAAAAATACGAACGGCTCATTCAACATTTTCACGTTAGCGCCTTGAAAGCTTCGAATTCGAAAATCACCGGAAGACGCGTGATATAACCGAGATATCATTATTGTGCAACGGTATTAACATGGACGTCAAAGGAAGGGTTAAGTAAGGCGACATCATTCCGTCAAAATTATTTACCGCCACACCCCAGAACGTCATGCAAACATTGGAATGGGATAATATGGGAGTGAAAATCGATGATCGGCAATTACACGATTTTCGCTTTGCTGATGATAACATTCTTATAACACCAAATTATAGCCAAGCGGGACGAATGCAAGAAATGCTACAATGATTCTGTGCTCGGTAAAATATACCAACACAAATAAAACGGCTCGATTTTGACTCACACCGATTAATCTGTCTTCACCTATAAGTGAAAGTCTGGTGTTGTCGGACCCAAAATTTTAGAGCAGCATATGAGCAAAGATTAATGAGCTTTCGGAACTTTGTGATTCCTCAGGCGCTCACCTTGCTCGTTCCATTCTAATCCTGCGTTCCAATGTGACGCTCTTGAGGCGTTCTTCTTGGTCCAACCTTAGCGTTAGGATCTTCAATGATGACCCTTTGCTACTTAGGAGGTTAATAATGCCTCTTAGATTTTAGCAGGCTTTCGTGCTCTTCTGGCCCAATGATACGGAATTGAAGGATATTTCGGGATCGAGAGAATGAGGCTCATTTATTTTACTGTGTTCAGCTTTTGGATAGCCACGTATAGCTTGCCGATCTTTGAATGTGTGGGCTGGAAATACTCACGTGTGGCTTGCCACCTATAAACAGTGGTTGTTTTTTCCTAGCACTTGCCTTTTTTATTGTTTTATTTTCTGTTTCGTGTACGTTGCTATACACTAAATACTGTTACAGCTGGAATGTCTATCAAACTGGCTATGGGTCGTTTGGTGGTGCTGGTGTCCAAGCTTTCAATTATTCTTCTAAGGTACAGTTCCTATAACACAGCAAAATAATCATCTAAAATAGTTGGTTTCACCATCACTTCATCACTTTAACGTGAGATTGGTAATAAAAGCACACAGCAAAACGGCAATGGGAAGCAATAAGTTGATTACTAAGTACCTAACACCTAAAGTGTAGTTCTCGCCATTTGTCGTCCCCTTTGACCCGAGAGGCCGCCAGTGAGCCTTGCCTGGCACTTCTCCCCGTCACGTGCAGGAGTAGTTAAATGGATGCTGCTCGATCAAGGAACTCATTGATCATCAAACTTTTTGTTAGGGCCTTCGTAAAGAACTTTTATCACAGGGTCTGCGATCTTAACAGAGTAAATTTGACATGCCTAGGGATCCTGTCACTATGAACTGTTGTCCACCGGTTGTCGCTCACGAGCACTAGGTCCGGCTACTTGATTTTCGTTATTTCTCTGATCACAGCAACATCTATAATCGTTGAAGTTGGTCGAGGCTCTGTTCCGCTCTCTGACTTACGTGATATACTGCACGCCGATCGTCGTCTTTTCGACTACACGTTTTATAAGGCTGAGTGACTTTCCATCCTGCATATGAATTGATTAAGTTTCTGAAGCATACTTTAAGGCGTAGAGAATCGTGGAGTCGAAGGGTGGGCACGAAGAAGGGTTGTCTTTGTTTTTCTCAATACTTCCGCGATTCTCTTTGAAAGCTTCCCAAGCCGCTCGCTTCTTCCTGCTCAACTCTGGAGCGAACTCACTGTCCTTGTAGTCTTCACAGTCTAGATATATGTAGCTGGAGCATTCAGCGATGCATGTTTTGTTGAGCGTGAGTGAGGCATAAGGAACGAATCCTTCCTCCTTGGACACGATTTTTGTGTGACTAACGTAAGACCAACCTTATAACATGCTTCATCGAAGTAGCCTAGATTTCGTTTCACCTCGGTAATCTTTGATGTCATATGAACGATGTCATCAGCAAAGTGAGGATGACGTAATTGGGAACCATCGATTTCCTCATCCATGTTGTCCCATTCCACGGTCCATCTGACGGTGACTAATTTTTAGATTAGGGAGTCTTTCTGCCTAACCTCTCTTTTCATGTCGATGTCAATATCGTTATGGAAACATAATATCTTGGTGCTATAACTTTATATAGTTGACAAAGCGTCTCTTTCTTTGCCTTCCCAACTGAGCGAAAACTTTCTCGAAATCGATAGGGGTTTAACAGAGGGGTCTCGTTTATTCTCGCAATAATCCGTTGAGTTTTGTTATCGTGTGGATATTCTATGTGGTCCAAGTTTGAGCGAAATTCAGAAACTCAACTGAAACTTCGATTAACTCTGATTGGTCAGTGGTGGTGACGGTTCTGAAGGCATTGCTGAGAAGGATCGACGTCTTGAGTTGAGCGGATAATTTTCTGAACTTGCATTAACTACTTCATTTTACTCCGATTTTTATCCGATTTTTTAACTCGTCTCCTACAATATTATAATCGCTTGTCGCTTTTAACCGTAGCGTTCGGATTCAACGACTGAGGATTCTGGAATATAGATTCGTATCCACTAGTACCTCAGAATGGTTATGAAGAAAGTAGAGACGCGGCGGGCAGTGTGTTACTATCAAGCGAACTAGTAAGCATTTAAACCTTTTCTTTCAATGTTTAACCAGGGAACATAGTTGAAAATACGTGGATGAGAAGAACGGTAAAGCGAACTCCAATTGGTGCAAGCGATCCGAAAGACGACCACCAACAAGATGAGCTGGCATGTTTTCCGTTTAAGTCAATCAGCAGTAGTCGCAGCTGGAAACGGAATGTTGACCATGTAAACGACATATTCCCAACATCCGAGTAATGAATTGAATAAATCCCAGTTTACGGTGGTTCTGGGACTTATATTTTGGAATTTAGTGGCTTTTTCTCCTTTCCGCGAGAAATAAAATTTTACTCGAAGGAGACGACTGTCTGATCCCGTGTAGAATTTTGGGACAACAGCGACATCTTTTAGGCAAAGCTTTCTATTTATTGTGATGTGGTTTATTTCATTATGGTACTCTCCATTGGGAGACTCCTACGTCCAGCGTTGAGGATGGCGCTCATGGAACTGCGAGTTACCATGGATTGTCTTGGGCGCTATGATAAACTTAGCTAACTGGTCACCCTGTTCGTTCCATTCTAATACTTGGGTCCCAATGCGACGTCCTTCAGACGTTCTTGTTGGTCTAATCATGGCGTTGAAATCTCCAATGATGACATTGAAGAATGTGTGGTCTTCTCTGTAGAACTTCTCCAAGTCCATATAGAACGCATCGACTTCTTCTTCGTCATAGTTTGATGTCGGCGCATTAACGACGAAGATTCCCAAAACCGGATTTGTTTCACGTCTTTTTAATCGTAAACGTCTTATTCGGGTTGTAAGTTGTTCGAGTGAATCAATGTTCATCGAAAAACTCGTGTTGACGAGAGCGCCGACTCCGCCGACTTCTCTACTATCGCATGTTCCGAGAAACAATTCTTCTCTGGTGCCATAAACGGTGTTGAAATGCTGGCGTATTCTCGTCTCGGCTAGGCTGATGACGTCGTACCTTATCCTTCTTGCCCGCATGAGCACGTCGTCTACCGAAGACTCGGATGCAAGTGCACGTGAATTGTAGGTACAGGTCGTCACCATAGTTTTTTGAAATCCAAGCAGCTTCCATAGGTCCTGAGATTTTAGCAGCCTCTCCGTACTCGTCCTACACAATGCTGCNAGCTTGCCAGACTCTCCCAGCGTGGATATAGACCTTATTTGTTGGAGGCGACTCCTAACCGCCTTCCATGTACTTCCCAGTCACTTGATTGCAGGCTTTTGGTCGGATTGACTCGTAGAATGCTATCCGCATGAGCGAGAACGCATCAACACACGAATGCATGAATAGTTCTGGCATGTAAAGAAACCATGTGCCAAATCGGCACAGTAGAAGCAAATAATCCATACCCTAAATTCATCTGCGTCTCAGGAAAGCAGAGGCCGCTTTTGGTCTGCGATTAATCCCTATCCGCCACATGGGGACGCGCCACGTAGTCCCGCGACTAACCGGCTCGAGATCCCTCATATGAGAGAGATCCATGGCCAAGTAAGTATACATATATATATGCATACAAATTTTTACTGATCACATCATCATGTTTTTGAGGATAACAGATCACAAACAATGCTGAAGGGGGTGTACGAGGTAGGTACAAGTATTTCTAGCCCATGAAAAATTTGTTCGAAGGCGAGTAAGTTGAAGTCGGTGGTCATGAGCTGAGAGGGGTCCATATGTAAGTTTATTAGGGCGTTTAGTGAGGCAAGAAATCGACATTAGAAGATTAGACAGAAGGAGACAAATATGAATTATATTCGGACTTGTACCTATCGATCAACTGTTGAAGCTAAAACATCCTATTTGACTCTTTGGTAATTTCTGCGCTCCCATATTTAGCTTAATCATGGGCTCCTGCATCAACTACAGGCCATTAGCCACATCGACCTTTCCACACACACACACACGTTTGGACGATATCTTTTGAGATTCAACAACACTTGTGGCCAAACTGCGTAGTTCAAACGTTCGAAAATAACATCCTAGAGTTCCGGGTAAATTTACTTAGCAAGCCGTCCAACTTCCAATAGCCGTTTATCTAGGGAATATAGTTGAAAATACGTGGAGGAGAAGAACATTGCCATTGATTCACGACATATCTCTAATAACCTTCTAGCAAAGGAACAAGAATAAGACCTAAACAAGTACAATGAAGTGAGAATATGCCTCGCATCCTAAATCACTTCTGGATGCAGGTTGGTGTTCTACCACCGCACTAGGTACCGGCATGGGTGGCCGCTTAGCATCTGATGGATCAGGCTCTTCGTCACTCAAGGCTGTTCTATCGAAGCAAATCGCCGCTGTACGACGCTAAACACATTTAAGTCGATTAGAAAAAGAACTGGAATTCAAGAAATTATTGAAAAGAAGCACAAGAAACCTTGAGAACTCATTTTGAGTAGAGCTGTTCCACTTTCATACGGCAGTGCTGATACTGCTGCAATGTGATGAGAATTAGTGGATGAACGTTGATGGGATTGCCACGACGAAGAGCAAGAAGAATTTGACGCATTCCTCACCCCATTAGTAAAGTCGCCAACACTACCAGGAACATTCGTTGATATCGATCTTGGTGCGATGACACGACCAAAAACCTGAATTAAAAAAGGCAGTGACACGTAATCAGCTTGCTAGATTAGATTCCAAAGGCAAGTGTCATGACTAGCTTCTTCAAAAAAAAACAACTTCGTTCAACAAGACGTTGAGCTATAAGATAGGATGTAATAATATTAGCTCAACACTTATAGATAACGTTTGCTAAAGCTTCCAACACTCTTGCGTTCCTACATGTCTCCGCGAAAGTGAAAGAAGCCGTGGTCACCTAAAACTTAAATTCGTTGATTACCAGCTATATTAATTCATGCCTGCGTTGGAGTATTTTCGTGCATACAAACTGTATTCTATGAGTCAATTCAGCCAATCTAAATGTAGTATGGAAGCATATGGGAGGCGATTGGAAAGTACTTCATAATTAATACGCTGCTCCTTCTATTCTGGGAGAGACTGGCAAGCCACACGTGAGTATTCCTAGCCCACACGTTCAAAGATCGGCAAGCTATACGTGGCTATCCAAAAGCTGAACGCAGTAAAATGAATGGGCCTCATTCTCTCCACCCCGAAATATCCTCCAATTCCGTATCATTGGGCAAGAAGAGCACGAAAGTCTGCTAAAAAATCTCAAAAAATCTCAGAGGCATTCTTAACCTTCTAAGTCGAAAAGGGCTAAGACGTCAACCTATACCTATAATGCAAGCACAATTGCATCTAAGTCCTCGATTGAAGACTTGATCGAGCAAGCTACAAGA